GATGAGCTTTGTAAAAATCGACGTGTTTCAGAAAGGCGGGGCATAGAGGAGAAACAATAATGTACAGTATGTGGCAAATAATGTGTTTTTTTAACCTTAAACCGCATAAACACATTTCATTACACCAAATACACAAAATAATGTTCTTTTTAGCAACATCATATGACCCCTTTAATATATTTTATAAAGTAGCTTATTCCTGGGATGTTAAAGCAGAATTTTTAGCATCATTACTCCAGTTTTCAGTTTCACGTGATCCTTCTGAAATCATTGAAACTGAATCACTGAACAACTGTCCCTAAAATGCTGATTTGCAAGGAACATTTATTATTAGTATCAATGCTGTAAACAGTTGTGCTACTTAATGGGTGGAAAGTGTGGAGGTGTTTTTTTTTTCGGGATTATTTGATGAAGAACAGCATTTATTTGAAATACAATTTTTATGTAACAGTCTAAAATCATCACTGTCACTTTTGATCTTTTAATGAGCTCTTGCTGAATAAAGGTATCAATTAATAAATAACAAATAAATAAATAAATAAAATAAATATTTACCACAAGCTTTTGATTCGTGTACCAAATTGCTTAATGTTGGAAGAAGTAGCTTGTTGCTGGAGCTCTACTATTTTAAATATAGTTTAATTGCTTTCATGCAACTGAAAAATAGAATTAAGTTATATATTAATCACAAGGCTTGAACCATGTATTACTCATAATGATTCCCTAGCTAATACTCATTGCTGTAGTGTTTTAGCTTTTTAAAATGCAGCCAAATTACTGTGAAAAATGTGTTAAAGGAACATAAACAAAAGGTTCTACAGGCTGGGAATGAAAACAAAATTTATTAAACTGATTCCTGGAATGTCTGATGCCTATAAAGTGGTGCCAGTCAAAGCTCTTTAGAAAAGCACAATGTGTTTCCCACCAAACAAATCCAAAAGCTTCTCACGAGCCAATGGGTTATGAGATCTCCCAGTGAGATCACTTGTAACTTAGTTCATCCCCTCGTTTAATAAGCCTATCCCTTTCAGCATGCATCATCTGTTATTTTCATAGCTAGCACCCTTTCATGCAACCATTGTTTGAACTAAAGAAACTGAATAGCTGACATCATCTTATTGTTCCATTACATTTTCCAAATGTTTTTCTGAATGTCATTTGAATCTGATGTCATAACAAAAAACAGTCCCACTTAGAGAAGTGTTCATATCTGTTCCTCCCTGCAGTCTGATGGTACGATCTTGGCCATAGCACTACTGATAGTGATGCTACTGCTGATTCTGGCTCTCCTCTGGTGGTTTTGGCCTCTCTGCTGCACTGTGGTGAGTCCTCTGCTCTGCATGGAAAATCTTGAGCTTACTCAAATAGAAGTCCTGCTACATATTAGGACATAAACGCAGACCTGCACAAAATCTGCATCTGCAGAATTGCACAGAAAACTCTGGATTTTCTAACCTGGGGTAGGGTGCGTTTCTAAAAAGCACCAACTATGGTCACAAGTTCCATCATTACCAACACGGTTCAACAATTCGGTGTTTCCTCAAACCATAGTTTCAACAAACATTCACGAAGAGCATTGCAAACTACAGCTCTCATTGGAAGAAAACTACAGTTTTTTGTTAGTATGACATTTTGAGTTGATGAGTGCACATGTGCTTGAGTCTGTAGGGGAAACTTGAAGGAGTATGACGTAAGAGGGACCAACGATGGAATCAAACATCTGGAAATAAAGCAAAACAATAGAGAAACCAAAATTACGAAGTAGTCCTCAGGTGCCATGTTCATTATTTACAGGAATAATCAAAACTATTACTACATCACCACCTGCATGATATCATTAACGATAGTTGTATATTGTTGAACCAGTGTGGTTAGAACAGCAGATTTGCAACAAAGTTACTAAGATTTCAGGAAACAGTTTTGACTAGATCTAGTTTATTTCTTCAATTATGACTCGTATTGTGGTAGTTAATCAGAGAGTTATGTCATTGAATAGGATGGGACTTCACACATTTTTGCTAAATCTGAGGGTTATACTTGATTTCATCTTCTTTAGACATTCTACTAACTTTAAGTAACTTTGCACGTCAGCGAACTCTCACTAGAGTATTATAGCCAGATTTACTAAACAAGGCAAATTAAATTGAGAGCATAATTCCAAAAAAGCACCGATTGGAGTGGAAATTTCTTCGGGTGATCTACTGATAATGTGCAAATAAGGTCAGCCACGAAAATACCTGCATCCAAGCCCTTTTATCACTAATTTTTCACTGCGCATTTTTAGTTAATCCTGACAATACTTTTTAACCCCAAAACATTTTTGTGCAGGTACAAGCTGCTAATAAATTTGGCCCGTAGTCTATATTAGTAGACCTTTAAGCCCAAAGTATACTTCGGCCACGTGCACAGCGTTGGCGCGAGGTCAACATTGAGACAGAATAAGTCAATAGGTGATACTGCGCATGTGTCGAACTCGTCCATCCGCGGTTGAATATACTTGAAAATTTAAGTATAGCCACGCATTTGGGTGACATGTACTGTAGTTGCGGTAGTTGTAGTTGACCATCAAAATAAAGTGTTAGATATTAAGCAGACAGTCAATTGATACTCTTATGACTGGTAGTTCTTGCAGTTGCAAAGTTACTTACTGTTAGTAGATTATGTAAAGTGGACTATTGAAATAAATTGTTAACCATCTGAGAAATGTTGCCATGGAAAAAAATTAGTCACCATTTAAAATAATTTATACTTGGCTTTGCTGCACTTGAACTTAGGGTCAGGTTTAGGGAAAAAAATGCATGGCTCTTGCTTGATTGAAATGTCGATTAAAAAAGTTGACATTTGTACAGTATATTTTTAATGTTATTAAAACCACACCTGTATTGGAAAAAAAGTTTTTCCCATTAGGTTGCATTTTCTGCCAAATTCTAACTTTAGTCTAACCACACTTAATTCTAACCAAAATTATTCACATTTCTCATCCTTTATTTGCCCAGTTACTAAATATCTTGTCTAATTTGTTAATAATTAATAACAATCAGCTACCAGTAGGGGGATATTCACACAGAACACACTTTTGTGTTTAAAAATGTGAGACACAGGTCTAGAAGTTTAACTTACTTTTTAGAATGTGCTATCGTATCTCTGTTCAAATACATCCACAAAGTGCATGTTAATATAGAAGAACAATGGGAAAGCAGTGCAGTGGAATGCAAAAACATGTTCTGTGTGAATGCTGCCTAAGTAAGTAGTACTCTCAGCTGCACATTTTACCATATTTATAATAATTTATAACCCCCACACCCCACAATCAATGCAGAAAAAGTGCAGATACTGTGTGGTCTTATTAAATGGTTATATACCAATATACAAAATATCTCATTATTTTGTTCATAAGTACACAGAATGGGCCACAGCCATGGTTCTTATGTCATGGAGTATTGGTGACTAAGAATGGACCATTAACAAATTAAGAAGATTTAATTAAAGATGATTTCATTAAATGTGGGGAAGAGTACTCATCTTTCAAAAACATGAGAGTACATTTGAAGTTTTTGCCAATATAAAATATTAATATCTCATTGGCTGTCTCTTAAACTGTATTTCAAAATGAATATCTTTTAGGGCGATGCATTACACATCAGATTTCCCAACTATACCACTTTGGAACATCTTCCCACTACATATGAGAATTACAGTTGGCAGATGATTTGCTTACACTGGGCTAAAACTACACTCCCCTCGTATAAAATATATCTGAAAAACCTGTTGGATTTCTATATTTCCAATAATTATATAAATACACCATGATGACTTGACCTAAACTTCATTACCCAAAGAGACATTTTAGATGTGACAGGCCCATAGGAACAGATGGGCGAAGATGTTTCCTTTAAAGGGTAGCTGTACCTTTGCATCTTTAATCTGGACGACCTTTGGTTGTTGCCTGATCTTTCTTCCAGGTTTGTTTGTTTTGACCATGTTTTTCTGTTGCTAGGCTGAACCCCAGTGATGTCCAGGCAGTCTGTGCAGGTTGAGTTGAGTTAGCTTTCATGCCCTATTTGTCCTGTAATGACTTGTTAAGCCCTTACTAAGTATATTAGACTCACACAGAGTCAAGGCCACCTTGGATTTGTAGACAAATTGGTTCAACCAATCTTGGATCTGACATCACCTTTGAGCTCTCAAGGTCAAACGTCAGAAGTGAGTTTCCTCATTGCTTTTCCAGAAGAACTGCAGATGTGGAACCTTCTTTTACACAAAGAAAGTTTGAGTATAAGAATTTAGAGGGGAAAAAAGCATTTAGTTTTGGACTCTGACTCATCATGGACTTGGGAGCATGTGGACTTGGTCTTAACCCTCATCTGGTCTTTGTCTTGACTGACTCAGATGAGCTGGTTCCGACTACAACACTGGGCAATGCTGCTCTTTTACTTGTGTAACTGGTCCTACTTGCAACATTCTAAGTGGCAATCGAAGCAGCGTTAACCAGCATGGGAGTTAGGTGTAGTCAGTAACTAGCATACCTCTTAAGACCAGGGGAGTGAAGGAATAATAGCTAGTGCAGTGGCTGCGATATATATATAAACCTACCAACATTCGTCACCATAACTTATCGCGAAAGGAAAACATTTTAGTCGCATAACATTGGATTAATGGTCTCTGTTACACTAGCACAAACTGGTTGGTCATCCAGGTATACTAGCTTAACCAATGTAACCTCGATGGTGACCAGCCCAAACCCCAAAACATACCTCATACTGGTCAATACGATGGTTTTGATAGATACTTTAAGATAATTAACAGCAGAACCTGATATGATCTTGGCCCAAGGTGTCAAATCCTGCTCCTGGAGGGACAACTTCTAGCAGAGTTTAGCTCCAACCCCAATTAAACACATCTGGACCAGAAAATCATGAGCAGCCATGTTGGAGCAGGTTGGAGCTAAATTCTGCATGAAGGCATCAGACACCTCTGGTCTTTTCTAGCCGTGAAAGATTTATTCTATAGATCAGAGGTGTCAAGTCCTGCTCCTGGAGGGCCACTGTCCTGTTTAGATTCAATCCTAATTCAGCTAAAGCCAGCTAATCAAGGCCTCCAGAAGTACCTGAAAACTAACTTTGTCGTTGTTGTAGTAGGTCTGAGTTCGACACCCATGCTAGCATCTGCAGAGATTAAACATTTGCCACAGGCCAATGTGTCTAGTTACACCACCTCTTGAGACCCAAGCCTGGCCTTTCTCTTGATTTCTGAGGGACATATAATAATTCAAACTGTCAGTGAGGTCCAACTTAGAAATATCAGAAAAACTGGACGTGTCTGGAATTTGTCTGGAAAGGCACAACAGGAAAAGAGAAGAAATGAGTCATTGCTATGTTAGAGGAGTGTTGAGCTGAAGTTCATGGTTGAACCAGCTAAACCGGCTGAAATCCCACTCAGCAATGATCATTTTCCATAGAGACCAGCTGTTGGCCACCATGGACTGAATTAGCATTAGCTTATTGCTATGTTTAAATAGCTTGGCTTTATTTATTAGCACAGGGTCATTTAGACTTTAAATACCATGTGTGTTGGTCAAGTTCAAACGTGCTAGGCAAAATTCCTTACGAAATGAATATTTTTACAAAACGGAAAAAGACGTGTCTGTTTATACAAGGTAATATTGTCTGTCTGCCACTTAAAATCTCTACATGAACTAAAGGGGGCATGCTCTGTTTGGGAAAGTTATTCTTTGTAACCATGGAAAATGAAATTGTGATTTGACCTTTGAAATAACAAGGAAGAATAGTGCCCATTCTCAATTTCATTAAGATCTATTGATTGCCAAGTAGTGTAATGCTAACGTTTTACTAGATGTACAGAGCCATATTTGCAGCATTGTGACATGACAAAACTGGAACGCTCCCCCTATAACAAACAAAGCTGTTTTTCCTGTAGGATACCCAGTATATGAAACACTAGCTAGGTCTGTATGCTAATTGTGTGTTCAAGACCTTTCTGGCAGTTTCTGCCCATAAATTCGGAAATCTTAATTACAACATGATGTGTGTTAAAGTGATTTTGCATGGAATAAATTCGATGCATTGGCCAATTTAGCCTTTTTTCATATCTCAACCATGACAGGGACATTTTTAGCACTAGTGTAATAAAATTAAGTTGCATTAATACTCTATCTGTATTTTATCCTTCTCAGTCACTGACAGTGATGGACAGATTTGTTGCACAAGTGTTTTAAACCAACTAAATGAGCATTATTTAAATCAGCTTTATCAACAGAACACTATCTATGTACATCATGGTACCTATATGGCTATGGTACCATCAGCATTCACAATTGCATGTTCAATAACAATTTGCTTCAACCATTAATTCTTTAATTGACAACTCGGAAAGCGAGGGCTTAAAATGTTTCTCACTGGTAATAATTCTCACTTTATGGTGTTGTTCAGATGCTTTCACTCGTAAATACAATACATACATTCCGTCATGACTAGAACACAGCAAGAGACCATTTATGAAAACACTCAATTAATCAAATAATTTCCCCTTCAGTCCAAGCAGAAAGCAAAAGAGTTGGAATTACTACTACACTCTGGCATTTTTAATGTCTCTGTCCTTGAAATGTTTTTCACATGATTCCCAGAATTCCAGATGAGTTTCAAAACAATAACAATATGTGCTCTTTCACATTTGTTTTGCATGTGGATGAATAGTGGATCTCCTTTTTAAATACTTTTGCAATTTCAACAGTGACACAAAATTTTACGTTTATTGCGTCACATCATATAACCGAAGCCATAAGTTTCAGTTTTATAATTAGCTGTTAGCAAAGCAGCTGTCATTCTACACAGAGTTTAGCAAAAATATGAAAAAAATCATATTGTAACCAGCTATTTGATAAGAATTTACAAACAGCTGCTCCTTGAGGTCAAAGGATGGAATTTGTGAAGAATTATAGTAAAATTTGTGAGATCATATGATATATCCCTTTACGAAAATTAACCATGGTTTTACTACAAATAAAATGTTAACCTATTAACCATGGTTTTGCTACACTAACCATAGTTTAACCATGGTATTTGTAGTAAAACTGTGGTTATAAAAATACATGGTTACTACACTTTTACTACAATAAAACCATGGTTCATTTTTTATAAGGGATTAGTAAATAAATCACATTGTTGAATTATAACAAGTTATGGTTTTTATATTTATATTGTTTACATTTAATAATAATTATTATTATACTAATTTATCATTCTAAATTATTATGATCAGTGACTGAAACATTAGTCTGAGCTAGAAAACAGCTTTTTTCCCCAAATGGCAAAGGTCAAGTCAATGTTGCATAATTATCATTATATGGTTGATTTTGTATTCCTGATGCCCTGTGCTGTTTTGCTAAATGCTGTAGTACTTGACTTCTGAACAAGTAAATAATCAGTTTTACTTCTCTGAAAGACACATACCTGGAAAAGCTTAACGCTCAGCCCTGCCTTTTAGCATTTACATCTGGCCTCCAGATTTTTAGGTCACTTAAACTTGCTTGTAAACACACTGAAAACGGGGAGAGGAGGGGTGCAATTCCTTAGTCATGTGTTTTTGTGTAACCTGATTTTCTGGCACACACTGAAAACATTACTTGGGGCCTTTGACATGTCAGTGGAAGGGAAAAAAACAGTTTTTTAACTTTGGAGAGCATGTGGTCTGACATGCCAGCATGAGTGGGCTCATGTGATGTTGTTTATCTTTCTTTTTATCCAGTTGATCTTCTCTCTCTCTCTCTCTCTCTCTGCAGATTATCCATGAACCTCCACCACCAGTAGTGGAAGATAGTTCGGTAAGAACTTTTTTTTTTAATTGATCTGTACATATCTGTACAGTCTAATTAAGCAGCATTGCTCTTGCATCTGTGTTGTCATACTGTGATCTGGCCATAGGCACAATACGTTTCAGACCAAAACCGGTCAATACGTTTTTTAATTTCTCACTCGCCAACAAAAATAGTGGCAAAGGAAGCTAAAGCATCAAGCTTTGCCTGCCACAAAGCAACACACAGACTGAAAGTTGGTCTGGAACAGCATATCAGTGGAGCGAATGAGATTTCCCATTTCCGTTCAAAGCTTTCAATAATCACTCCGCTGTTCACCTACTCTGGTCTGAAAAGCAAATAAAGGAATACAAGTAACTTGGATTGCAGATTACTAATAATAATACATAAATTATTACTGAGAAAATGTGCCAGTGTTCAACTGGTTTTTATAAGCCGTTTTCTACATTGCACTGGACTGTTTTTATTGGCTAAAGATTTAAGGTAATCTATAAGTAAGATCCTGGTAAGTAGCCGTGTAATATGTGGGATAACGTATAGTCAGCTGGTCATTATCGCTTAAATAAACCCAGACACGACCGTGATGTAAGACAGAGGGGTCTTGTAACACTCTAAAGGGGTTTATTTTGTGATAATGACTGTGTCTGACTGCACACAGTATATCTGAGAATGTGCTGGTATTATACTATGGAAACAAAGAGTTATCCTGGAGCGTTTATGGTGATTTTCTTCTTGAACTCTTGTTTATCTTGGATTAGGCTTAATCCTTGTTTACTGAAACCATCCCTGAGATCTCAGTGTCCAAGTCCACACATGAAAAATATCTATTAAGGGTCAGATTTGGAGGTTATTTTTGTAATGATGTTATTCAGAATTGGAACCGGTTCTGAAGGTCAGAATGTTTAATTTATTCAACAGGAACTTTGAGACTTTGGACTCCATAAAACTCCCCAGATCTTTGTAGGCTGTTGTTTAACCGCTCTGGCTTTGCTGGGCTAAAATGAATTAGTTCAGTCTGGCCTTATTAAAGACCTGTAATATGATAGCATATTTTTATAAATCTTCCATCAGTTATGTCACTTTTGTAAGACTGTAGGAATGTCATATGTGGAATGGCTGTGGGTTTGGGAAATTTCCCTGAAGGTTTCTTTAAGTTAAGCTAAAGTTTCAGGATATAAAAAATGTGACAGGGAATCAAGTGGGTGGTCAAATTGAAATATGAAGCATGGGGATGGCTTTTAACCTTTTTGATTAAGTATGGACGCATTGATTAAAAGATGTCTGTTCAAATCTCGAGGACTGATTGCTAAACAGGGTTACATTTCGTCAGAGCTGGAAAAATAAAGTCATAACTTGAGTGAGCCAATTTGGATTTATTTTATTGGATCAGGAAGAGCTAGGGAGGCCGTAAGCGTGGCTCATGCCTTTCTGAGAGGCAATAAATTAAAAAAAGTCATGTTTTAAAGGAGTGAGTCACACCTCATTTAGGAAAATGCTTGGCCATTGGAATAAGACCCGGAAAATATGTACTTGGAACAAACAAAGAATCTTTACAATAGTGTTCTTGTTTCGTTTAATAAGATGTGTATATCAGTTCTCAACATAGAGACCCAGATTTTACTTTGGACATATAGCTAGCCAACATCTGTAACCTATATTTAATGTGGTCTGGGTTACGTTTTTGTTTTACCTTCACTCTTAAAAATCCCCCCTTTCGGAACCTTTATTTTTAAGAGTGAAGGTTCTTCATGGAACCATCAATGCTAATATAATAATTTTTAAGGCTGTTGTGCAGTTTTGTTCATGGTTTTCAAGGATTGGGATCACTTTTACCAGTAAATTGCACCACAATTAACTTCTTCCCTGTTGTTTGTGACCAGAACAGATTTGTGGCCAACCGGTTTAGAACCATTGGACTTCATTTTGGTCACATTTTCATTGCCTTTGTTTGCACTGTAAGGATGATGAAGAGGATGGAACTCCAAAGAAGAAGTGGCCCACAGTCGATGCGTCTTACTATGGAGGAAGAGGAGTTGGAGGCATTAAAAGAATGGAGGTAAACAACAGTTTTATCACTCGCTGGAGGGTACCAGCCACTAAATTAGCACACGCTCAGTGCCTTTCATCCAGAGGAAGCAGGCTGTGTCTCTGGAGGAATCTGGGGTTAAGTGTCTTTCTTAAGGGTGATGGATTCTGCCAGTAAATCTCCAGTTGACAGTTTGCCCCTAGTTGGAATGAAACCACTGTTGTTTATATTACATGCCAAGAGACTTCAGCACGTCACAATTGAAATCAGCGATGCTGCCGAAAGCAAATGCCACAACTGTGAAGAAAAATAGGAAATATAGAAGGAATAAGTAAAATGTTTGTCAAAATCCATTAATTCGCAAAAGTATGCTTGAAATAAATGGATATGCTATGCAAACACAAGACCAAATCAAAAAATGGCATGACAAAAACAAGGAGGAAAAATAGTTTAAGCCAACATAACATGGTATGTTGTCTAGTTGGCTGGTTTTAAAATGGTTTAGGACACTGGAACTTGCTGACCAGCTACATGATCTGAAGATCAGCTTGACTAGGCTGGGAGACCAGCTAAGCAACCTTTGGCGTCTTAAACCAATTTTGTTTCATCAAAGGGCTGCCAGTAAAGTACCAAAGTTTACAATCACAGCAAGACAGTGTTTACAATTGAGGAAAACGTGTGTGTGTGTGTGTGCATTATACAGCTCATCTGCTGTTTGGAATCCTTCCTTCTGTCAACCATTCTGCCTCAATTACCAGCAGTGCAGAGTTTGCAGTCTCGAAAATACCTGTCTAGAAATATCTCTATTTGAGAAAACATAAAATACGCATTCTTTGTCATGATTCACAGTTTTTATAATACTGAGTTGACCCTGAAAATCTTTTGATCCCCCCCCACCCCATTTGTACCTGGAAAGGATTTTGAAATGTTGATAACAGGAAGGTTATGATGTAAAAATGAGAAAAGGTTTTGGAGTAAAATTCATGTGCACATTTTTATACAGAGGGACAGATGTGCTTGCTTCCATTTGAAGCTCTTTGGATCATTGTCAAGTCATGCTGGATAAAATGACAATAGCCGTCTCCTTCATTTCAGGTTCGCTGGGGTGAGAAAGGTTCGACCGAGGAGGGTGCTAAACTGGAGAAGGCAAAGAATGCGAGGGTGAAGATGCCTGAGCAAGAGTTTGAAGCTCCTCCTGCTCGCATCCTAAATAATGGCATGCGGAAACCTCCAGGCCCTCGTAAATGGTACTCGCCCATTAAGGTGAGAAGAACAATAGTGTATTCGGGTACAAGCTAACTAAAACTCAATAACACTTTAGTTTAAGGACCATTTCTCACTGTTAACTAATATTAAACACATATTAATGTCTTATTCTTTCTGTGGTTTTCCTGCAGAATTGAGGTACTTTTACACTGTTGCCATGGATTGTTTTTTTTAGTCTGTAGTGTAAAGTGACCCCCTGCCCCCCACCGGCTTTTTCAATGCAGGAGGACCCCCACCAGAGGGAAAAACCACAAAAATACCCGATTGGACTAGTTTTGAATAGCAATTGGGCGGGTTTTGTTTCACAGACCTGGAAACCTGTCAGTACGTCTACCCTGGGTTGTTTTGCCAAGTGTATAGTGTAAATGCAGATATCGGATATGGGTCTTCAGAAAAATCGGATATAGTCTACAAATCAGAATTGGGCTTCAAGATCTGCAGTTTAAATGCAACCTTTGTTATGGGTAACAGTTTGTAAAACACAAAAGATGATATTTTGAAGAACATTGGGGTCCACCCAACACTGTACAACATTAAAATATATATTTTTTTCTTTTTAAATCTAAAATATTTTGTTTGTGTTCCATTGGGTAGAACATTAAAGTTGTGGTTCCCAATTCAGGGGCTGCATCCTTAGAAGGAAGCAGACTTTGAAGGATGCATTTAGAGGCCACTTTTAAAAGAGCCTTCAAATTGGGACAGCCTTCGTTGCACCTCTGTGTCTAGTAATTTCACCTTTGAAGGAAGCAGCCTCTGACACAGCTTAAGACTATAGATGAGACTAATTCTGTTGACAGTTAAACATGAGCAGCCTCCCACCATGCAGTTCTCCTGCTGATTTAATGTGTAAAAACCTGACTTGAGATGTCAATGCTTATAATCAAGCATCTATGAATCAGCTCGGGGATTCATAAAACAGACCAGAAACGGTGGTGACCTCCAAGAATCTATGCCTGCAGAGTCAGCACTTTATTACACTCAAAACCAAGTTTCCCTCATTTCACCTCTCTCCGCTCACTCATTCTAATAGATCTCACCATCCAAGAGCTAAGACCATTGCCAAAGCTTTCCCCCCCTGTTGTTCATTCTTTTAGTCTGTGTATCTTTCCTTTGAATATTTATTTCCTCCTTTATTTGTTCATCTCTGTATTTAATGCGTGTCTGCGTTGTTTTATATTTGGAGAGAGGCAATGTGACCAGTATGTGCCTCTTTTTGTGACCCAACTTTACATTTAAATCTTCCAAGATGTCCTTCTGTGCTTTCCTTCCCTCATTAATTTTCTCTGTTCTTTTCTTGTGCAATGAGGGTCGGTTGTCTTTATTAGGAAGTTGGATCGAGGCTGAGGGACATCAAAATGCTGTTATATATTAATAACCGTGGGGCAGATAGCGAAGGATTGGTTCATTCTAAACTGTGGCTTTGAGATTTATCCGTCTCATTTGATAGTGAGCCAGAGAGGCCACATGTGGGGTGTTGGGTTCAGGAAATCTCTTTGTTCATATAACCCATTTCTCAGTGTTTGGTGACTGAACAATATGAAGACCAAGTTATTAAAGACCTGAGGGTCAATGAAGACGCAATAAAGACTTGAATCGTACAGAAAACACAGTTTATACAGGGGTGTCCAATCCTGCTCATGGAGGGCCAATGTTCTGCAGAGTTAAGATCCAATCCTTTCTAGTGCATCTGAAGAGCTTGATTAGCTGGTTCAGGTGTGTTTGATTAGAGTTGGAGCTAAACTCTGCAGGACAGTGGCCCTCCAGGAACCGATTTTGACCACTGGTTTGTATACACATCTGCTTGCTTTTTCAATATTAATTTTTGTGTTTTTGGGATGTGTGTTTGTGTGTGTGCTGATGCACAGGGAAAACTGGATGCATTGTGGGTACTTCTGAAGAAAGGGTATGACAGAGTGTCCATCATGCGACCACAACCTGGAGACAAGGTAAGACTCTTTATTTGTTGAAGTATAACAAATGTGTGTATATATATATATATATATATATACACAGTGCCTTGAGAAAGTATTCATACCCCTTCATTTATTTCACGTTTTATGTTGCAGCCTTATGTTAAACTGCTTTAAATTACTTTTTTTCCACATCAATCTACACTCCATACACCATACTGACAAAGCAAAAAACAGAATTGTCAGAACTTTGTAAATTTATTAAAAATAAAAAACTGAAATAAGTACATTGCATAAGTATTGTAAGTATAAGTAACTCATTACTTAGCTGAAGCACCTTAACAGCCTCAAGTATTTTTGGGTATGATGCGACAAGCTTTGCTCATCAGCATTTGGCAATTATCTGCCATTACCTCTCAAGCTCTGTCAGGTTGGATGGGGGCAGACGCACATTTTCAGGTTTCTCCAGAAATATTTTATTGGGTTCAAGGCCAGGCTGTGGCTGGGCCACTCAAGGACATTCACAGAGTTGTCTATAAGCCACTCTTGCTGTGTGCTCAGGGTCATTGTCCTGTTGGAAGGTGAAACTTCTGGCCAGTCTGAGGATCTGAATGCTCTGGACTAGGTTTTCATTAAGGCTAACTCAATATTTTGCTGCACTGAGCATTTCTTCTACTCTGACGAGTCCCCCAGTCCCTGCCGCTGAAAACAGCCCCACAGCATGAGGCTGCTACCAGCACACTTTACTTTTGGGATGGTACTCTGCAGGTGATGAGCAGAGTTGGTTTCCTTCAAACATGATGCTTGGAAATGAGGTTCATCAGACCAGAGAATATTATTTCTCACAGTCTGCGGGTCCTTTAGTTGCTTTTTTGCCAATTCAAAGTGTGTTTTCATGTGTCTTCACTGAGGAGAGGATTGAGTCTTGCCACACCGCCATAATGCACAAATCGGTGGAGTGTTGCAGTAGTGTTTGTCCTTCTGTAGGTTTCTCCCATCTGCACATATGATCATGGAGCTCAACTAGAGTGACCATCAGGTTCTTGGTCACCACACCAACCAAAGCCCTTCTCCATCAGTTGCTCAGTTTGGCCAGAAGGCCAGCTCTAGGAAGAGTCCTGGTTGTTCCAAACGTCTTCCATTAAGGGTAACAGAGACTACATGCTTCTGTGAACCTTCAATTCTGTGAAGCAGAATTTTTTTCTGAACTGTCTGAAGATGTTAAAAACCTGTTTTTTGCTCTACCATTATGGTGTATGGAGTATAGATTGATGTGGAAAAAAAATCCATTTAACCCTTGTGTTGTGTTCAGAATCCTTTCACACTAACGAGGTTACAGAGCAAAAAGGACCCAGCCTCAAAAATTACTTATAAATCACTCATTATGCTATATTATCACCAAAGATTGGATTCAATCTTTTTGTCAACTTCTTTTCTTTCATTTAGGACTGGTTTTGTATTTATATTTGCTTCTGATTAATCGTAGGTCTCATTTATCTGAACGTAAGCACCTCATTTTTTGAGTGAAAAAAGCATTATTTATGAATATTTTTCACAATATTAAATAAAAACGGAAGAAAATTTGCACTGTTTTTTTTTTGTTTTCTTTTGCGCACAAAAAGTATTCTCAAAGCTTCGTAAAATTATGGTTAAAAATTGCGTTCCCTTTTGTGTTCTCTCGCAAAGATATTTTGCGTTCCCTCGCAAAACTTTTGCGTTCTCTCGCAAAGATATTTGCGTTCCCTCGCAAAACTTTTGCATTCTCTTGCAAAGATATTTGCGTTCCCTCACAAAACTTTTGTGTTCTCTCGCAAAGATATTTGCGTTCCCTTTTGTGTTCTCTCGCAAAGATATTTTGCGTTCCCTCGCAAAACTTTTGCGTTCTCTCGCAAAGATATTTGCGTTCCCTCGCAAAACTTTTGCATTCTCTTGCAAAGATATTTGCGTTCCCTCACAAAACTTTTGTGTTCTCTCGCAAAGATATTTGCGTTCCCTTTTGTGTTCTCTCGCAAAGATATTTTGCGTTCCCTCGCAAAACTTTTGCGTTCTCTCGCAAAGATATTTGCGTTCCCTCGCAAAACTTTTGCATTCTCTTGCAAAGATATTTGCGTTCCCTCAATGCTGACTGAAATTTTTGCTGGAATGCAGTTTAAATTTAACATATATTTCATTTTATTTTGGCTAATTAATAGACCATAATTATAAATGTTTCGTTGATGAATTAATCATTCACGTGGTTTCATTTGTAAATGAAAACACAACATGCTCATTTATCATCACACATGGGCATAAATACAATCATAAAGGCAAAACTTTATTGGCATAATTGTCAGGCGTTTATTTGCTAAATATATGGTAGGCTAGACACGAGAAAAATGTCATTCCCTCAACATAGCATCTGGAGGCCACGACATAAGGATGTCGTTACCTCGACAAAATGATCTCGTGGCCACGACATATCACGTTCCCACGAGTTAATATGACATTCCCTTAAATTATTATCTCGTGGCCACGACATATTATTGTAACGTTCCCACGAGTTAATATGACGTTCCCTCAAATTAATATCTCGTGGCCACGACATATTATCACGTTCCCACGAGTTATGACATTCCCTCAAATTATTATCTCGTGGCCAAAACATATTATTATAACGTTCCCACGAGTTAATATGACGTTCCCTCAAATTAATATCTCGTGGCCACGACATATTATTATCACGTTCCCACGAGTTATTATGACGTTCCCTCAAATTAATATCTCGTGGCCACGACATATTATTATC